TTAGTAAAATTCAACTAGTTGGTCAAAAATATCGAGACAAAACAACTTTAAGCAAAACTTTAATCCCTTTTTGCCCCCCAAAACCCGGCGCTTTTCGTTACTAGTGGGCTATAACATATAGCCTAGTAGTAGCTCAACCAATCAGAACGCAGCATTGATAAATAGACCACTAGTTGGATTTTACTATATAGTCATCATCTCACCTTCATCGTCATTATTAAGATCAACATCAACACTAGACTACCATGCAAGCAGACGTTCTTAGGGCTTTATCTCGCGTTCCTCCAACGACAAAGCCCTACGTAGTAACGTCTGAGAGAAAGGCTACATCATTCCCATCATCATAATTATAATTTACTACATCGATAATCATCGTTATCTTCGTCATAAATAATCACCACCATAATTATGATTTTCCTCATTATTATCATCATCATCATCACTATCAATACAACAATCGTTAATATTTTCATCACTATTGTCAGTAATATCGTTACCGATGGTGTAGTCATTATCACCAAAAAGACAAATTGTTGTGGACGATTAATAAAAAAGGTAGCGAAGTTACCTGGATTATTTCGTTTTCACCGTCGATGAGTCTTTGTCTTTTCAGCGGTGAATCCTATAAAATAAATAAATATGGCGCTCTATCGAGCTCTGTCTGCAGACACTACAATGGGTTGTGTTCATTAATCTATTTGCGAGCAGAGGAGGTTTGTGTGTATGTATTTGTTTTAATTCAATTTAATTTTGAATTTTGTAAATAATGAAGATCAATAAACTCTAACTAAACTATAACTATTCAGTAATCGTTTATCGACGACATCGATCAGAAGAAAACATGTCCCCCAGAACCTTTCATGATTTTCATAATTAAAACCTTTTTAAAAGTTGCCTTTAACAAGGCCCAAGGAGTTGTGATAGAAGGACTGTCAACAAATTTTATTTTCAGAGCTCAAAAATTCATTAGTCGATTCGAAAAGGATTTCAAGTAATTTTTAGCGGTTACCCATACCCGAAAACAAAAACAAATACAACTCACTTCGATCTTTTGCCAAAGTACAGCTCTAAAACATATTAGCGTAAACATGTGACAATCGCCAGCAGCCTAAGAACAAATTTTTGTACTCAAATTATGAAAACTGCTAAACAGAGAGGCAAAAACTACACAATTTGGTTAAAATCATGGGAAATTATAGACATCGGAGAGCATTTACTTTGGTGCTGTATTGATCAGGGTAGTCTAAAATGTTAGTGGGTTTCATGGAAAGTAAGGCCCTTTTTAACTTGAGCATCACCTTTGCGCTTTCATCGGCGTGATAAATGATTTGTCTGCAAAATTCATTACGCATTATATGAAATTAATAATCTCGACTGTTAGAGATCTTCCTGATTAACTTATGCTCCAAATAATTAAAATTATTACTTGAAGATTTTGACTTACATATCGTGTCTGTCCCTCATGCGTAAACTTTACCATCCGTAAAACGGTGACTGACTAGACAGCATGCTTTTCGCACGTTTTGAAATAAAAAGGACCGCAGAAATCGAGACAAGGTAAAATGCTAGCTAACGTTTGCTCTTTCTGATTACAGATTTCAGTTTTTGATGAAAACTCTGACCTTTAGACCGGGTTCTAGCAGCTTTAAGCAATAGTTGATATTTGCTCTGTCTCGTTTTTTCCCGTGTTTTGTCTTCACAGAAGCATTTTCCCAGCTTTGTCTAATTGATCCATAACATAAAAGAAGAAGTGATTTATTGAAAACATCTTAAGCAAAAAGCAACTACTAATTAGATCATCCAATGTGGACCATTAATTAATGAGAATTTCAAAAACTTACTCTCATGCTGTGCTTTTTATAAATAGAGGAAAATCACGACCTCCAAGCCTTTATTCTCTACCCTGGGGACAATTCACTGAGACAGACTATTTATTGATAAACTGATATTTATCGGAAGATATTTATCGGAAATTAACGCATATAAATATGCCATTGTTGAGTACTACTTCGGAAAGCATAAATGCTAAAATCGTCAGTTTGGAATATAGAAAATGATGCCTTAGATATTATAGAGCAGATTCTCAAATTTGAAGAATTAATCTATCTTTTTAGCTACATTTTAAGTGAAACAAATAAGAATTTGGTGCAGACTTGTAACATTGTATCCTGCAGAATGCATGGAAAACGGCCCTTGTCATACCTACATATCGATTTTCGTCCAAAATAAGCGCAAATCTGCACAATATATATATAGTAGATTATGTAAGACAGATGTCTTGCCTACACGTGCCAATCGATCGCACGTTTGAGCCAAATAACAGTGAATTAGAATACGTTGCAGACTTTTACGTTTGAGAATAATGAAGTTTAAACTAGGCGCTTGGATTCGAAAGTCACTCTGCAGGCGGACATTGGTTTCAGAAAAAAACTATAGCCCTGAAGCTTTCGACTGCCCGCCCTCACGACCTTACGATAATTCACCAAGGTGTACAGGATCAGTATATTGTCCCGTGACTTGCATTTAATGTGGTGAAAACTGGTGTTGCATGTCAGAGGAGAGTTATACATATTGATACAAGTATTCATTTCAAGGTCAAGTACGAAGCATTCAAAAAGACTCGAAAAGAAACATTTGAATTACCCCCCACTTATTGGCCAGAAGATATTTTTACTTTACTAACTTAAGGTCAAGGTGTATATTTACAAGGGCGGATTTAGTGGTGGGCCGCTCGAGGGAACCGCGGCCACCCTTTCTCCTTGAAATTTTGTATTATTTTAATAGAATTCGCAGAAAAATAAGAGCGGACGAGTGGGCAAGTGTGCCGGCCACCCCTTTCTGAATTTTCTGGTTCCGCCCCTGATTCAGATTAACAAGAAAACGTTGCTTGAAGGAGGCGAACATTAAGCGACTTTCGTGGCGTTTGGGTCTCACTTAATTTTGTGCCTCTCGCCAATTTTCATACAATCAGTTGCAAAAATGTTGAGACACTCCAACGAAAAAGCGACCTTTCTTAATTTAAATCCCTGCGAGTCACACGTCCGTGAAATATAATTCTCACCTTCCTCCTCCCCTCCATTCCAAGTTATTCCTCCAAGTTTTCAGCATGGTCTTGCACCTGATGCTTACAAGAACGTTTATAAGGGGAGCGAGGAGGGGGTATCACAAGGAGAAAATCATTAACAGGCCAGTTAAGCCAAAATGAGGTAAAGCGTCTCAAGTATTTTTGCAACTGGTTGTTAAGCGCCATTTTCTTGGCCAGTGAAAAACAAAATCAAAATTTGTAGCATGTCTCAGTAAGAGCCGTTGATTGCTTCAATCATCTCAGCCAAGCATTTTACTGGTCGCATATATGAAGAAAATAAAACACAGAACCAGCTCGAAAAGGTGGTCGTTGATTGTAATAACGGGATAGTCTTTTGAAGATGTTGGAGAAAAAGAGAATTCATCAGTGACTGCCAGTAGATATTTTTTCAGACCAGAATAGAGTGTGCGCATACTAGAGGGGCTCTATCTGTAGATAGCTGTCATAATTATTTCGAAGTATTCATCTTTTTCAATGGTTGTTTGCTTAGGTATCTTCCACAACGAGAAGTGTAACAGAAAAGAGAACGTTTAATCACAAAACCGGAGGAACAATGTCGGCTAGTAACTTAACGTTTCATATTTGATAACATTAATCCACTTTAATCCGTGTATTCCATCTAGCACTTTATCCGCAAACCACCCGTCAGGTTTTTTGCGCTCTCTATAAACTCTATAAACTTACTTTCTTCTAGTGTAGTTCATGTACTTCAGGGAATTTTTTATTTTAATATAAAAACCTAAAACGAATGTTAAAAAAAATACTGTCTCTTAAAAACAAAAGCAAAGTAAGTCACTTACCTTACAATGAATCTTGCGGAGATCTGTTCTCTTTAGCTATGTCTCCTCTGACAGATTTGAGAAAACATTCTGTGGTCTTTTAATTTAAAAAGTTTTTTTTTTTCAATAGAATCTCTTGAGCCCAATGAGAGCCTTGTTTGTGCGTGTGTATCTTAGAGACCATTGACGATCGAGGTCTTTTTACCTTATTGCCGAGGAAAAGTTCACCGGGTTTTGTTATATACTGCCGGCTTTATCCGCTTCTCAGGAACGTGTTATATAAGAGCTTAAATCCCCTTCATTAGCGATTATCTTGGCGAGAATACCGTTTGTCCCAGGATTATAGAGAATTTAAAAAGACAATGGTGCCAAATTGTGTCAATACAGTAGTTTTTTTACTTTTAAAATTAACCCCTGATGGGGAAACAAGAGGACTTACAATAAATGAAGTTAACTTAATAATTTAACAGAAAATGTTAGAAATGAAGTCGAGTAAGAATCATATTTTCGATTTTTCCAAATCCTTAGTCTGCAAGCGCGCAGCACAAGATTTATTGCGCAACCTTGGAAACAACAAAGACCCTTATCAAATGCACTTAACAATAGCAGAAGCAACTGATTAGTGATTATACGTGCCGGATTTTACTCGCGTTAGTTCATCTCCGCTTATGTTTGTCATAAGTGGTTCATTAAGTAATTTGTAGCGTTGTATTGTTTGCTTTTTAAAGATTCGAGAATGTACCCTTGTGTTTTTAGAAAGAAAAAAACGAAGCAGCAAAGCTTAACTATTGCGAAATTCTCTGAGCTACTCTCCGCCACCTGCGCGCCCCACAAGTTAATTATTACTTCTTGTTAATTTTTCGCGATTTTTTAGATTTGCTCTCATGAAATGCAGACGTTTTGATCAGGATTTGTTGCAAGAAAAGCCAGACTGCAATTGTTTCCATTTTTTTGCTATCACCCCATCCATCTAAATTATAAAAGCTGCGATAAAACTCATTTAACAAAGATAAACGTAACTTGCGTAATTTAATTTTGCCCGTTTTATGTTGTTTTTCCTGCTTTTTAAATTATCGTTATGCCCCGTAAAAAAGAGCTGGAAAAGGCCTTTATATCTTTTTACCATCATTAATTGGTTAATTTGTTATTATATTTTTACTTTTTATCGTGGTAAATGTCTATCACAGGAGTCGCACGAAACGTTAACGCTAGAACACAATCTCGATGAAAGCAAAATAATGTGATTCACTCAAAATGACAATAGTAAAACGTGATAGTTGAGCGAAAAGTAACTTAAAATCATTTAATACGTAGGGGCAACTTGGACTTCGTTTTATACCTTTCCAGGGAACAGACGATCGAATAAATGTTATCTCATCAGGGGCACCCAACGACAATCTTCGGAAAATATCTGTTCGGAAGACGATTTGAGATCTAGAATTTTCGGAACATTTGTTGTAAAATTTCTTGCTTGCCTGCCTCTCCTAGAATTTTCGAACATCTAAAAAATGGTCTAATTACCTACTTTTAACGGATTTTTACCCTAAAAAGGTCACCTAGAATTTTCCGGAACCTTTTTTCTGGCTGGAATTTTCGAAAAGGTAAGTTTTGATCCCTATAATTTTCGGATCACTAGACTTTCAGCTAGAAAATCCGAACAGACGAAAAATTTTAAGGGGATACAAATGTGCCTATATCTACCGTTTAAATAGTGAAATACGTTTAACAATGCTACGTTTAGGTGGTTTTGAACTATATTCTCGTTGGATGCCCCTGTCTCATCTAGATTTTTACAATTTTATTTGATTATCTTATCGTTTGCACAAACAACGTAAGACATTATATCATCAACTTAGGAACTATCTGCTAGTACGTACTTTTATTGTTATATAATGCTTTCCTAAAACACCGAATCAAGAAAAAGCTTCTACTTCACTAGCCCGGTTCCTGAAGGGCCGATTGGCGTTAAACCAGGATTAAAATTTTGTTCCACTCTTCGTATTTACTTTCCTTTGTATTACCTATAGAGTAACATTTTGTGCTGTAATTACTGTCCTTTCGGAGAAAAGTTTCGAGAGTATTTTGGAGGCTCGAGTTATATGTTTTTAGACAATAAAACCTTGTTTAATCTCGTGTTGAACTTAACCATTTATTTCGAGGGACGGGGCCCTGAAAGATACCACTTAAAAACATTTAAAAATATTGAGTACATGCCACCTTTAAAAACTACCGTTGACAATTAAAACAATTATTAGAAAATTAAGGCACTTTAGTTTTTTCGCCCGTTTTACATTTAGTTTGCCGGCTTTGTAAAATACAGACCATCTGTTTCTATTTTCGCAATAATTATAATAGAACATCTGGTTTTCGGCAAATTCATCATAACTTGAACTTTTATATCCTTCTATCCATCTCACGCTGTGAATCAGCTATCAGCTGATGAATAATTCAAATAGACATCAACGGGAGATAAAATCACCGGCGTTAAATATCTATTTTTCCAGTTTTAGTTGGTCAGGAAAACATCATCACATATGGAAGGAAACATCCGTTAAAAATACCGGTCATTAACATCTAATTCAAGATCTCCCGCCTTCACTTTCATCATTAGGGTCCATTAGATTAAGCAAAATTTAGGCAAAGGTTTCCTTAAAGTCTAAAAAACCCTCCAGCGATACAGGCTATACATACTGACCGACAGTTTAACAACTTTTATCCGAACTGTCACAATGTTTAAGTAAAAAATTATAGCCATCTTTTAAAAGCACTCTTTATAATGTATTTCCAAATATCTTATAAAAGCAAGTAATATTAAGTAGAAATTTACATGGCTATCTTTTATCAGGGGTTCGTGATAATGTGGATTAATTAATCCAAAGATGAGTTTGGTCGACGTTACTCAAATGTAAGTTGCTCAGTTTCAGTGTCTGGACAGAACTTCTTGCAAAAAGAAGGCACATTAGATCGAGAGTGGTTTCCTTGCATCGATATGAAAAGGTGATTTCATGCTAGTTTGAACTAAAATAAAGTTTACAAAAGCTACAAATGCGCTAGAAAATACACTTGATATTTACAAACACCGTTAAAATGGCACGCACGCCATAAAAGTCGCTACTTGCTTAGAAAAATTTTAATCTTGACTAAAATCCCTCCTTTAAAACTACTGTAATTGATGTAACATATGGCTGTTTTACCATTAACACTCCTCTTTGCTTATAATTAAATTCACTAATAACTGTTTCTACTGTTACGAATGTAACCTGTCGGAATATAAACGGCGTTTTGAAGAGATTCTCGACGGCTGACCTTAGAATCACGTTTACGGAAAAGGGCAACGTCAATTTGTTCCACGTGACCAAGTTTTGCTTTTTCTTGGCATCCAATATTCATTGAATTACAAAGAATAAGCAGTTTAAGGTCAGATTTATTCATAAGAATTATTTTAGACAGTTTTAATTTGTCCATTTCCTAGTTCAAGAAATTGTCATCTTGAATCTGACGCCTACCGTTGGCCTAAACGTGATTCTTATTATAATCAACCTGATATTGGCTTGGAACAAACTTAAACCGGTGGGGGGGGGGGAATATTCAATGAAGTTTTACACAGGGAAGGTTCGCTCCGGGGACCAACCCCCGTACCTTTCATATGCCATCTATGACAGAAAAGGTGCCCATTTCGTATACTTTCTACTGACAACAAATGGTACCCCTTTCACATAGTACCCACTTCAATAAGAACACTGCATCCCTTTTAACTGCTGTACATACACCGTATTTTTAACATGAATTAATCAATAAACTAGGAAGATTTCTTGTCTCTTTCATATCCATAAAATAGTCTGTTAGCCGTTTTTGGTCCTTTAACAGACCGAAATGACAGATTTCCCTTGATTTTATACACTTCATCTATTGAAATCCCTACCCTTTCGTATACCTGAAGCCTCAAAAAGGTACACCTTCCAGGCGGAGCTTCCCCGAATAGGCCATGATAAGGTGTACCCCCCGGGAAACTTAACCTTCCCCGTGAGGACGTTTTAGCGCAAAGCACATTTTTCAGTTTATTGAGAACTACTGTAATTACTGGTTTTTAAAATGAATTTAGTTGAATTATATTTATTTCTGGTGGCTTGCATCGGCTTCCGTTTCCGACCGCGTGATTAGACACAGCTGCTCAATTCCACTTTTTTCCATGCGAAACAACGTCCAGTCCGCCATATTTTTTGCACCTAGCTTACAGTAGAACCCCATGGTCCTTTTCGAGAAGGGAGAGACCCACTGCATACGGCAACAGTCACGTGATTTGGCAATCTAAAGGGCAAAGGAAGGCTTTTTTCAAAAAACTTAATTTTTGACTACAGACGAGCACAAGACAACGAATTTGCGCTTTTAAATATACAGCTATTTGCGCTTAAAAGTTTTTAAACCATCTTTTAACCCTGATACCTGTGCCACCGCTGCCATTAATGAACTTCCAACTCCGTGACCTGAGTAGAAACGAAATTAGGACTTTTTAAATTGGATAAATTAGAAACAAAGAAGCATGCTTAAAAAGGCAAAACGACGTTTGATTTATTGCAGCGTCAACATTTTTTAACGAGAAGTACAAAGGGGATGGAGGTGCTGTTTATTATGCTGTTCAAGGCGGTTCTTACTTTCGAGTCTGTGGATGAATCCTAAAGTGTGACCATTCAAATGAAAGCTACTGAGCAGTACTTTCCTCTGGTACTATCTATCATGCTATACTAGGTGATTCTAACTTTCGAGTCTGTGGATGAAATCCTCAAGTGTGACCATTCAAATGAAGGCTCCTGAGTAGTATTTTCCTGTGGTACTATTTGTTATGCTGTACAGGGTGGTTCGAACTTTTGAATCTTTGGATGAAATATAATCCTTAAGTGTGACTATAGAGAAAGCTATCCTTAAGGTGGTTCTTTCCATTTCTTGTGATAATAAATACATACTGAAAAGAAAAATTGGCATTTTTTTGTAGGCGCAAGAACTCGGAGTATTTTGTTTTACTATTGAATGAGTGCACGCCCACCTCTTGCACTAGGAATGACAAACAGATCTTCAACATACAGTACGGGACCTTCCCACGTGGAGTACGTGAAGTAGTAAATGGCAACTCCTAGCACTTCTTTGTTCTTCGTATTTGACATCCGTCTCCTTTTAATGGGACAGGGATTGTACTCTGTATAAAACATAAAAACAACAAGCTTAATGGACGTTTAATTTGCATCTGTTCAAGAATTCTTATAATCAGTAATCGATACTAGTAAAGTGATCAATAGATTTAGGTAGCAACTTTTTGTTTTTTTACGAGCCCAATCGGGACAGGCCGAGTGAGAAGAGACGTTCACATGGCACTAGACGAATTTTCGGCCGGCTGAAAAATTTGACCGGCCATTTCGTTCACACGGATCCAGTCAATTGTTTTGCCCTGTTCACACGGAACTTTGGACAGCTGTTCGTCTAAATTTTCGTACAGTTAAGGTGGTTCCGTATGAACGGAACACAAAACGCACGAATTTACAACAGGTCGAAAATTCGTCTGCTGCCGTGTGAATGTAGCATGAGAGTTTTGTCCTTACCAAAGTACTGTTTTGTCTGCTGGATTTATCCAGCAAAATAGCGCGATATACGTTTTGAAAAACTACGTTGTCGGGAAGACGCTATAATTTAAGATTGTGGTTCATTTTTATCCTTGGTTAAATTTTGTTGTCCAGTTTGTTTTTGGGTAAGGTTAATATATGATAATGAATTTGAAACAAAGGAAAATAAATTTAAACCGAGGATAAAATCAAACCACAACATATGCTGTATTTGAACAATTTACTTATGGTTCATACCTTCCTCAATCTTTCCATTTTCCGCATCATTTTCTTCATCATTTTTATCTATTTCCTCAGCGACGACGCAATGGAACAATGGATTGTCACTGAATCCATCACGCAAAAGCTCTGGAAAAATGGGCAAACAGCACCGGGCAAATAAATGGTGGACTTCAGGTAAAATGGGAAATAAATGTGGATTAATTCGTTTTTGTTTTTGTTTCATAGCTTCAAAAAGCATATCGGAAAAAAGGACATCGATGAATTTTCATCAAAGTGAGCTACGCAACTTTGTAGTGATGACATCATATGAGGTAGCCTGTTATAGGTTCCGAGATAATCGAGTCCTCGAGAACACGAATTCCTGAGAGCCTTGAACAGGATTCATATGAGGTGGGAAGTTCATCATTGCAAATAGCTGCCACGTTAGATCCGCTAGCTTGGTTTGCCACCATGTTAGAAAATCATGTTCGAGGTGTTATAACAAGGAATTTATCTTTTGTGTAATTTAAAAAAAATTGTTGCTAACCATTCCTGTCAAAATGTGACAGCATCATCATACGAAGAGGCTGCTTGGTAAATTTTAAAAAAAGGTCAGCATCACTGCTTGGGTGGGTATTACCTTACTGTTTTAAGATTTTTAGCCAACTACAATTTCTTCGTTGGTGATCTGGAACTACAATAGCTTGAAGTCGAAGCTTATGCAAGGGAAAGACTTCCACGCACAGGGCTTGAACACTCGAGGACAGTTTTTTTTTCGGCTCAATCTGCCTCTCATCTTTATAATAACAAAACGTTTCTGAACCATGATGATTTCCGTGGCACTACCTACCCTTTTCGCCAATCTGCAGTTTTTCAGCCTTCCCAAGGTGTTCTGCAAGGCCCTGGTGAAGAAACGATAAATCATAGTTTGCTTTTGGTATCCAGTGGGTATATTCAAAATGTTGATGCTCCTCATTACAGCAGTGCGCAAGTCTATACAACTGGTTTGAATGCCACCGTCCAAAAGCGGCAGGGGTATTTTGCAGAACGCCGAACCCAGAATGCAGAACGTCGAATGACTCGGAGGTTTAGTGACTAGTGTGGGGGTTTGTTCGAGCAACTCGCTCGCTACACGATGAGGTACCAGGAATCTGATTTACATCTTGGTCTTTATTCTTCTTTGACTTCTGATAACAATCTTAATCTTCTCACCACTTCTCTAATCACTCCTAACTCTCCTTTCTAACCAGTCAAATAGCCGCCGCTGTTTTTATAACCAAAGCTGGGCATGTTTGGGTTAGCTGACTGTGGGAATAAAGTCAAGGTGACCTCGGTGTGGGTAATGTTTTGGTGTTACTGAACCTACATGGTTGCGATGGGCGAGAGGCTACAAACCAATGAAAAACTAAAACGCTGATTAACAAACCCAAACAGGAACTTCAACGAGACTAATGTAACAAGGTCAGCTCTAACATCACAAACACGACCACCTATGAAAAAATAACATCTGATAATGGCGAGCGAGGAATATTCTAGCCTGCGAAAGCATCCGTTTCTCCTACGCTCTACGCCGCTGGGGACGTTTCGCGAGGAGGAACGCGAAACGTCCCCAGCGGCGTAGAGCGAAGGAGAAACGGATGCTTTCGCAGGCTAGGAATATTCCTGAAATGGCATTAAGTAAACTCGCAAGTTAAGCAAAAATTCAAGTACAAGTAAGAGCAAAAGATCAAAACAGGAAAACACCTACGTGGACAAAATCAAGACTAACCTTGATCCAATTAATGAAAACAAAAAACGAAACTTAAAAGATGAGACAAATCTGTCTTAAAAATAACTTTCAAGACACTTCACAACACTAGGGTTAGGAAACTGAGTGAATCAAGTATCAGGTCAGTTTTCCGGCAGTATAATTATGACCTTAAATTGAACCTAATTCACTCAAGTTTCCTAATCCTAACCACTTAACTCAGAGTCATTCGGCATTCTGGAAAATACTCCTGCCGGTCCAAAAGCGTTGATTGGCTGAAGGTACAAGCCGCAGAGAACGCAAGTTTTTTTTTCCAGGTTAGTAGAACTGAAGGTGTATTTCAAATCATGTCTTAATGTATATGGATTAGTAAAAATGAGAATTTGATTAATTTAAATGCAAGAAATCATGATTTCCAAGCACACGGAGTCCAACGATTTTTTTTAGTGATCGGTGGTTTTCAGCTCGAGATAACTTGAACCGATTCGACAAGAATTTTCTTTTATAACTTTCGCAATGAAAACCTTAGGCGTTTCCAACTGACAAAAAAGAAAAGAAAAATACCTGACATGGATGTTGGTATTAATTTGAATCAGCAAGGATAAAAGAAAACTTGCCTACTAGCATAAAAGCGTGCTTTTCCCTTCATATAATATGCCATTCTGACCTCATACGCGAAAAAGTGATAGTAATGCAATGTTGTTAATTTATACAAATTTATTTTACCGAAATTTTTAAACAGATTTTAACTATTTACTCTTTACCGTCAACCAATGGCATTTTGGACCAAATCTTCCTTTTTGAACCGTTTTTCGGCTAGTTAGCATGGGAATAGCTAAAAAAGAGATTTCCAACACAAAGGACATAAATTTCTACTAATTGGATGTAATCATTGCAAGCAGCTCAGGAGTTTTTTTGCGAATCTATTTCGATTTTTTATTTCTCGCTCTTTTCTTTCTTCCTTCGCCTTTCCTTGCCATTTTTGTTGCCCACTTTTTCGTCTTTCATTCGCATGAAAATTTGGTTGGCTTTCTTTCCAATAATGGGATAAATTTAATCTGTAAAGGGTAGTAATGTGGATAAATAGCAAAATAGACAGTGGATTTTTCCCCCAAATGTTGCTTGTTTTTTAGTCTGTAGTCTGTATCTCTGTCAAGATTGGTCAAAGTTTGCTAAATGAGGTACCAGGGAAAGATCTATCCTCGCTGATTCTGCTAATCACCACTAGAAAGCCTGATGAGTCCAGGAAGAATAATATGTATGCATGGGTCCATATGGACCAAAAACGACCAAAGTGGACGTCAAAGAGTTAACATTATGAACTAACCAACTTCTCGTGTGCCCTAATAAAGCTACGTTAAAGAGAGACATTAAAACAGAAAAAAAAATCAAATTTTGACATTCACAGTAAAAAATCAAGACTCAGTTACGTGAAAGTAACAAAGAAATCAGACAAAGAAATATTATTCAACAATGAACCGGACGAGAGCTCAATTATAGAATGATTGTAAATCTTTTTGTATGTTTGAGAGCTAGATTTAAAAATTAAACAATTTTTTTTAAGAGAACCTAGTGAAATTATCTGAAGATTAAAGAAGATTGAAGAACTTCAGATTAAAAAAAATGATGAGCAATTCAAGCGAAGGGTCGTTCGGCGCACTTAATTGTTTCTATACGGGCAAGTTTACAGGATAAAACTGATTTTTATCGTATTATTGATAAAAAGAAAGATAAATTATCTTGAAATTATTGAAATTTTAAAAACAAAGTATTTCACCCCTTTGAGACATGGACAAAGAAAAATTATACAGCTTTCGAGTAAAAATCAATTCGGAAAATGCAAAAGAAAATAACACAGTTTCTTCGAAAAATACCTGTATCATTCGAGCAATGGAAGGTACGTCCTCCTTCGTAGCTTCCCTGGTTCGATATTGCAGTTTTTTCTCAGGAAGCACCGAGAACTGGAAGGTAGAAGTGTCCTCCATGTTTTTTCGCAACTCAGATTTTTATCTAGCAATGATTTTTTTCACTCGAGATATCTTTAGCAAGAGAGATTCTTGCTTTAGAACTTCCCGACCCCATTCTTGATTGACAGGTTGCACCGACGTCATAGCTTTAAAAAATTTGCATTGGACATGTCGTTAGATTTTGCCTTTTCCAATGTGTTTCAAAACAGTTGTTTCCATAGCAACCTCGTCCCCAGGGCTTCTTCAGATTTACAATGAAAATACGCTCGGAACGAGGTTGTTGTCAGAACTTTGCTACTTTTGTCCCGTGGTTAGTTAATCTTCCTCTATGCATTGCAGGCATTTCAAAAAGTATTGTGTGTCCAGAATGCAATACGAGGACTAAAGTAATTACTGTAACAGTGACAATAAACTTGAGCGAGGATCTTGACATTTGGATCTCTATCGGCCTAGACTGAATATGACGCTGTTTATTAACTCTCTCTTCAAACGTTCACCGAAAGCATAATATTAGTTTTGTATAGACTGTTACAAAATGAAAATAAACGCCTCCTATCTATAAAACGCCCGCTTTTGAACCTCTAAAATTAAATAAAAGCCCCGGACGTATATTAGATTACTTACGGTATCTGTTAGTAACCAGTTGAGTTTCCATTGGCATGACGTAACGATATGACGTCAGTTATGGATGCTCTTTTACAAACATAAGGACTCGCCTTTTGGCTTCAGAGGCAGCTACGCACACACACTGGCGAGGCGTTCTGTCTAAACTACGAAACAGATAGTCTAATCTGGTCACACCATGGGGATGTTGTTGAAGTCAGTAGTTGCTTCATTATGTGTATTGGTTTTACTGCTATCCCAAGGCCACGGTACGTTCTTATACAATCTAGAACACGGAATCTAAGCTATTATCTTTAGAAGTTTTAATGGAAATAATTTTTCTAATAAGTCACAAATAGATTAACTTAAAAATGGGGCAAGGACTGATCGGAAATTCATGATCAGCGCGAATTCTTGAAATTGTAAAATGAATCTAATCGCTTTTCTCTCAGCTCTGATTTGAAATCAGTTCAGTTTGAGTTCAAATCGCCTAATATGAGAACATGCGTATATGCTGGAAAATGGAAAGTCAATGTTGGTATGGGATCGAAATAGAAAAAAAAAAGGAAAAAAAGAAGACGCCAGAGACCGAATATGAATGAACGCGGCAGCTACGAGGCTATTACAAATGCTGTAATTTTGTCAAGTCGCTCGATTTATATAGAGTAAGAAGAAGTATAATTATTACTTATCATTTAACTCAGTCTGTTTTTTTTTACCGATTGAGTAGGAATACCGTTTCTTCTTCATAATTGCTACCGATCGAGACATCAAAAGCAGTTTTGCTTTCTTAAAACCCCGGGGTTTAAAAGTCAATTGAAATTAGCTTACATCGATATGCTTGGCGATATAGGTTTCTTTTCTTTGAAAAGTGCGAGAAAGAATTTTATACCTTCAGCGCGTTAAATTGGAAAATTCATTCCAAAATTTATCATTCACGATGCGAGATTTACAATATATAGTATTTGGCATGGTGCAATATTAGGGAGTACATAACAGTGGAGAATTTGACAATAAGCCGTTAAAATAGTTTATTGTGTGCCTACTTTATGAAGTCGTGGAGTGGTTAATTTTCCCTCGCCTTTTTCTCAAGAGGAAAAATGTCAACGTATTTAACAAAAAACTACAAAACTTCTGTTCTTTATAACTCCTTCATGCATTCACCAAACTTATGAAATTTGGTGGCTTTGTTTGGACAGAGTTAACGCAATGTAGAAACAACTATATTAGATGAAAGGACATTGAAGGATTCAAGAGCCGAGTTTATTGCTTTTTCTAGTTAAAACAAGCTTCTCCGCCCACTGAATGTTGAATAATTTTAATCTGGATCTTAAGCAAAGACAGGTGGTCTGCTGTTTATAATTTGGTTTGCACACGATAGTGTCCATGCAGATATCTTGTTAGCTGCAAGACAGTTTGACTGAAGGTAACTTACATTGAATCGACTTATTGAATAACCTTAATATTTGACTTTCAAAAGAAAAAGGGGGTGCTTTCCAAGCTCTTTCCCAGGGCTCTCTCCTGATTTCGCTCTGGGAAAAGGACGAGAAAATCCTGGGTACGAGATTGACTACTTTCTTTGTTCTTGGTTCTTCGAACCTCTTTCTCAGAGTCTCTGTTTTTCCGGTCAAAGCGAAGAGGGTTGTTGCTGAGTGTTACTGAGTGTAAGGGGGCCCATGATTAAAGTATGTTAATTTCACAAGCCTGTGTGGCATTTTTCTATACTACAACACTTATTTGATTGCCTGGCTATCCTGGCTCACTGTGATATAGAATATCTATTTCGCATGTATTACGCACATTATTAATGCATGGACTAGACCTGACATCAATGGCATGCCATAATAGCAGGCAAATTAACACATACATGCACATCCGATGCCCTTCTCCATTGTGGTTGCCTGGCTTTATGATTTAAACGCCATTCATTTTTCTTCACTCTCAGGCCAACAGATCTGGCAGCAGATCAACTTAGGCCCAGTGTGTTTTTACGCCAATGGTAGAAGACCCGGGTCGTTCCAGTTTTTAGGCAACGAAGGACGGCTCATGGCCGCCATCAAGCTTGTCTATCGAGAAGGCACCGTGCGCTGTACTTCGAGTACAGCGTTTAACAGTCGCTGGGGTTGTTACCATCATCCATCCTTTCTGAATCATCCACTTAACGTCGTGGTGACGGACCGAAGCAACAACGTGATCTTCCCAGATAAAAAGTACATCAAAAATGCCGCTGGCCTCTGGTACTACCTGCCCTTCACGGATCCTCTGCACTCAGATGAGATTGTCTTCGATAACTACGCAAATCCAGTCTATCTCACACGAGGAGCTGTAATAAGAATCTGGTATGGAGAAGACCTTCAAAATTGGAATCAGGGGGATAATGGCGGCAGAGTTTGCGTGGATGTTTATGCTCATCTGCAGTGACTCATTATTACTTACGAAGTTAATCTAGCGCATGTGAAGTCTATGTAACCATGTGAAATGAGAATAAAGGTGTTGAATGCCAAGAGAGACTCTAACTTTTTCTCTTTGCCTCCGTCTTTCTCTGCTTTCAAACTCAAAGATGTCAAAGATCAACCTCTTCCCCAAAGCCCAGTTTTCCGAAAAGCAGATAAAGCTATCTACTGGATAATGCAGTTGGTTCCCTCCATACTTATTCGCTGGATAGTGATTTATCCCGTGGAAAGCGCTTTCCAACGTTTGAACAACAGTGGCCAGGGCGTTTGTGACGAGGTTGGTCCAAGATGGTGACAGAAATGTTTTATGCTGATGTGGATGGTGACGCAACGCGTAAGACTTGAACGAGAGTGAATTATATCGAAATCACTCTTCGTACAAATTGTTTTTTTTTCGTCATGTAGTCTGACTGAGTTCTAAAAAAAACGTTAGAATTCGTTAAAGACCTTACAAAAGTCACCCACTTTCTACTTCCCTTCTGCTCTTTCAGTTTTCAGTCTTTCTATTTCTGTTCTGAGTTATTACCATTTGTGGGCTCTTTCTCTGACCTTGTCATTTTCGTTCTAGTCTTCTTATTTCCGGTCTGCTCACCTCTGTGTTCAGTATTCTTCTCATTTTGGGGGGTGGCAATTTGTCGGTCAAAAAGGGCCATTCTCACAATGACATGAATTGACTACAAACATAAAATCTTTTCCCTTTTCTTATTTAACTTATCAGTCCCAGTGAGTTTGAAGATACAATAGTCCTGCCTAGTGTACACAAGAAAACAACCAACTGAAGGATCATGCCTGTATTTGTAGTAAAATGACGTCATAGGGTAGAAAATCGTATCTTTAGTTTGGATTCCACTCTCTGGAGTGTTTGTTTGGATCCAACGGAATTGCGAATACGTGTAGAGTAAGACTATTAAAACCGGATATATTCAATGCGCTTTCACCGTGCCCGGATTTTAGTGGACGGGGACTAAGATAATACCGCCCTTCATAACTAGAATTTTCCAGTTAAGCTTGTTTGCATTTTATTTAATCTATACAGGAAACAAAAGCAAACCAGTGGCCGTGTGGGCGAAAATCAACAACTATCCAGTCTGTTTCCACGCCCGTAGACAAAAACCTGGAACATTCCACTACCTCGGGGACGGAAAACTAGTTGGAGCAGTAAAGCTTGTGTACCAGAGAGGTTTCGTGCGCTGCGCGAGAAAACGCGTATATAACAGTCGTTGGGGCTGTCACCATCACCCGGACTACTTAAAACATCCCCTCAACGTTCTGGTCACCGATGCCGATAACAACGTGGTATATCCCTCGGAGAAATATATACAAAACACAGGCATGTGGTATTACCTTCCGTTTACGGATGCTAAGTTCTCCAAGGAACTTGTGTTCACCGATTACGCCAATCCGTTTTACCTTGCTAATCACACACAGATTAGAATTTGGTACGGAGAAGATATGATGCAGTACAAGAATTGTGATAATTTTGGCAGAGTTTGCGTTGAAGTTTGGGCTCATCTTATGTAAACAATATACACTGTAAATTTTCTCTTTTCCGTAGAGGCTTTCCTTGGGTATAATATGTAAAATAAAAATAGCAACAAAAAATTGTAAGCGTGCAGTGGACGATGGGAAGAGAGAAGATGCCAAAAGCATCGTCACCGCCCGCATAGCCTGGGAGTAAGCTCTCTGGTAGGCTATCCCTTAGTCCCCTGTGCGCTTTTTTTTTTTTCTCTCTCCCCAGCCTCCCTACGACACAAGGAGGTTTCTGCTGAGAAGAGAGGTGCTAAAAAGCTCAGATTTGCTCATAATAAAAATGTCGCGATTTATTTGGCGAATGGTTTTGTGAGTTCGGTGATAGTTAACCAATTCAAACTTATACTATTATAAGCAAAAGCTGAAGGGAAACAAAGATCCGCTGTTTTACTTGATGTAATTCACGAACGGGCACTGAAAATTCCCAATATTAAAAATTTTGTCTTTTTCCTTTTAAATAATTTTAGTCCCTTTAAAACCGTCGTTAGGAAATCGTGTTTTTGGTGCCATAAACTTGTAAGACATTTTCTTCCGCGCTGAGTTACACGTGAAGTTTAAAAGGTCGGCGAAGCAAAAGGTGAATGAATTGAAACATTTGCATTTTAATTTTGTTTATTACACTGATCAGCAGTTTTTGTTTGTTTGCTTTTTTATAATATATACATTTTATAAACAACTAAAAATCTGTACATGTTTTCTCACGTTATTTACACTTTACTGAACTGCGAATATGTTTCTCTATATCATTTTATGAGTGGTGTACGAAACTCTTAACAAACCAAGAAAGAGGAAAGAGGAAAATTCAGAAAAACTAGTCTTTGGTCTAGAATAAGGCGAAACATTCCCGATCGATAAACAAAGATTTCCGGCCAAATCAACCAACAACGAACCATTGAGTTATTGAAAGGAAGGCGTCAATGCTCTTTTTTTATCATTTTAAAAGAATATTAGTTGAAGTTGCCGACAAACTTCGATCTCATCGAATTTGTAGCTGAAAATTCAATAAGTCTTTCGGTATAACCGACATACCGGCCAGCGAAAGTATGATGAAAGTATGAAAGTATGATGTTCATGTTTCCATCAAAATCTTTGTTTATTCTTTTTCCGCGTCTCTTTGGCCATGGTCAATGCCTTGTTTTGTTGTCTCAACGTTCTCTCTCCACAACATAGGATCGGGGCTTTCTGAAAAATCACTCCAGTGCGGCGTGAACCCTCGTAATGGAGTCAACAAAACTCTCGGTTGATCAGCATTGGAACTCTTGCACTTGTTTCCTGATTTAGACTCTTTTGATTTCATTGCTTTTGCAGACTTTTTGTCCTTAGAAGGGTCTGTATTGTTCACGTGCTCAGTTTTTGCCAATTTATAGCAATGGTGTTTCTTTTCACTCCAACTATCCACGGTTCTAACCGAATCGATGGTTTTTGGTTTTGTTTTTCTTGACTTTTGAGGGCTAGTGGCATTTGTGGAATGATGCGATAGATACAGCTTTGGCAGCGACAAATATTCACCAAGCTTGGTCCCCGTTTGCTTTTCTAAACCCAAACAAGGCACATCATTTTCTACAACCCTTAGAGCTGGGGGCTTTTCATAAATAACACCCAGATCTTGCTCCACATAAGCGCGTTCCTTCAACTTTAGTTTACGTTTAAGGCGTTTGAGTTGCTCTGATTCCGTCTCGCTGTTGGCGTTTCTTAACATCTTTTCATCCAGTTGGCGACATTCTGAACACACATGGCAATCATTCTTCAACGCAGGTAACCTATAGCTTAAAGTGTTTTTGTTCAGTGAAGAAAAACTATTATTCATGGTTTGCTGAAGTACCGGGGGAAGTCGATGGAAGCACCGAGGATTGGGAGGCGTTTTTGAACTGATCCTCAACACCCCAGAAAGAAAACCATTATCCAGATTGTCAGGACGCGGAAAAGTTCCATCGGGATAAACTATCCGTCCAGGCTTGAGCAGTTTCTGGTTGTTCTGTTGCACTGTCGCGGAGTAATGTTTAATGTCGTCGTTTCTACGTTCATTGCATTCGTGGAGAAGTTCGATAAGACGAGAAATATTTCTGTCCATCCTCTTTTCTCTCTCGATATCACCCGAGATTGGCTCAGCGTTTGACGGAGTTTTCACAAAATCATTTTCCCACGGTTTTACGTTCACAGTTTTTAACGTTACAGCGTTGTCCGATCTGTCAGTTTTGGAAGAATGTACACTCTCTCCCAAAGGATTTTCTAACATGGCGTCCGGCGTCTCTTCTGACATTGAAGAAGAAGAGTTAGGAAGTTTGGCGGACTCGAGTCTTGATCCCGAAGTTTCTGTTACAGTCCCACTCCTACAGCTTGGTGTGTTCCTCCGAGATTTTCTCTCAGTTTGAGGAGAGCGTTCTGTTTTGTAATCGCGAGAGTTTGTTTTCTTTTTCGGAACTTTCTTATCCGCTGTCCTGTTGATCTCATCGCGTCCCAAAGCTCTGTCGAAGGACTTTTTGGCAGAAAGATACAATGAAGGTCGATGTATTTTTGCATTTCTCAGCGCTAACGCAACCCGCGAGTTACCCTGTTTTAACTTGATTCTCTCTTCCACGAACTGCTCAGCAACTGTCCACGGCGTTGATTTGGTTTCTGTGATTGCACCTGGCATTCTAATAACGCGTTCGATTAACCTTTTAGTAAGTTTTCTGGTTATATACGCGCGCCTGTTTTGAAGAGTAGTCATTCGATCTTCATTGTGACAAATGTCTGACCCTTTTCCTGGACTGTTTAAAGTTCTTAGCACCTTAGGAAGTCATTCTTTAAGTATTTTCACATCGTTGTTGCCATAAGAAACTAAAGAACTTGTTATGCCGGCAAAATAGGGTATTCTTTAGAAGAAAATAGTACAAAAAGAGTCACGTTTTTAGACCTCAAAGAAACCAACCTTAACAATAGTGTACGTGACCAAACAGCCGGCAAAAAGCTATTGATCCAGGTTCTTTTAATAACAGGTATAAGGTGGTTATTAAAGTAAGTGGTCTCTGGGGATATCTTTGAAATAAAAGTATGTATTTCAATGACTTAAGTATTATTATATGACATTACAAAGCGGCAATCAGTCTTGTTACTTCTTTTGAGAACCGGTTCTTTTCATTGCACACAATCTGAAGCAGGAAAAAGTCATGAACATTCTTGAATTCACTGTCCTTTTGACAAGACTTTGGCTGTAATAAAAACGGTTTCTATAAGGAGAGCAACATTTTGCTCGAAACATAGCATGATCTGTTCGTCTCTTGACAATCAATCAATCATTGGGCATTATTCCTTATTTGAAACTTAAATCACTAAGCCTTTTTTTACTTATCTCGATACGTCGCAATTTTGTCGTTGTACAAGGCGAAAAAAACTAAATCCTCAATAATCCTTTAATTACATGATGCAGCCGGTGTACCGTAAAAATTTCCTGCTAAACAACACAACCATATCTGCTGTATTATGGGGTCGGGCGCGGTTTCGCGGCTACTTTAACTTCCGATGGTAAAACTTTATGTGACCGAAAATTATTCTTCCAAAAACAAGTTGACGGTGCGATAATCTTAAAAATATCGCATTATCGATAATTTTAAGTACGAAATTTATGGAGGATTAATTTTCGATGTGTTGCTTTCGAACGGAACGTCGTTGTTTGAGGATCTTGGAGTGAATTTAATTTAATTTCACTTTATCCAAGATTTATCGTCTGAAAATTTGTGTCTGAAAATTTTCGTGGTTAAAGTGAAAATGATGACATGATGCGAAGGTTCTTATCTTCTTAACCCTCGTAATCCAATGGTAAACGTTTTTTGCACTAAAATAACTTAAAAGAACAGAAAACAACAATTTCATAATACCTGCTAAGGATTCCCGGATTGACATCTTTTGTGAATTTTCCTTTCCCTAAAAAAGATTTAAAAAATTTGAATGGTACATCGTGGAACCAATTGGACGAGTGGACCTGGAATCAAGTTAATGTTGCCATGACTACAAACTACAAATCGATTACATTAGACGCCATTTTGAGGTAGTTTCTCGCTTCCTAGTTCGTGAGTGGATTATACGAGCAATTCTTTTACGTTTTAGCTTTCATAATGGCATCCAAAGGAAACGCCGAGGTTAATTACGTCCATCAAAATGCTATTTTATGCGAAACAATCAAGAAAGAGCAGAGAAATCACAAGTTATACACAAACTACAGCATAAACCCATTCAAGAAAAGTAAGAAGAAAATCGGAAATAGAGAGGTTTTCACTTGACTGTCGAAAGGGATTGGTTTTGGTTTTGGTTTTGGTTTTAATACGCCCTTTGGTTGGCTAGTGTATTTACTTTGGTTTTGGTTTTACGACAGTCAAGTGAAAACCGCTCTCAGTGTTTAGCATGACATCCTTTTGTTTTCTCTTGAACATGAGTGACGATTTTGATAAAATTCAGGTTCTTATGGGCTACTGTTTTTATATTTTTTAGTGTACACGTTAACCAGAAAGCCAAATTCTTTGCACGACTCCGCGGATGGTGAAGAAGATGGTAAGAAATAAGACAACAAGAATGTAGCTTCTTGAGCTTCCCACATATATAAGAATCATACCTACGGTACACTGCTACTTTACCATGACATTAATATTACTATCCTTGTTTTTACAGATCATTTCTTAGAAGTGATCAAGAAATCCAATGAAACACCTGTTAAAAAATTTCAATTTCCCCAAACGTCAGCGCAGGAAATAGGATGGAATACAGAGCCTCTGGTGAGTGTTTTTACCGTGGTAGTTAACTTTCTAAATCGGGGCAGTAACTGAAGAATGCCTTGCAAGTCGACTGCATTACTGAAAATCAGTCACTTCGTTGTAGGTGAAACCTGTTCTCAGTTGAAATCAGAATTCCCTTGGCCTCCTGAGTATGGCCAGGAGGCAAAAGGACTCACGTCGTAATAACACCTGGATAATCCCACTGGTATTTGTATTAACCGTGTTACGCTGTAATGTTGGGTGAATACTGGTTAAACCTGAGAAGGGATTCTATCTACAATGGTAGTCAATCAACAAAATTGGCAGATTAGCAATCAATCATAACTCATAACAAAAAAAGTTCAACGTAAAATAAACATATAGTCATGTAAGTTCCAATACATTTGGTGGAAACTTTGGATGTTTGGACCAAACCGAAGAAAAAAAAGGGCAGGAGGCGCCAGAAATGTAGGTACGGAGGAGGAGAGGTTTGGACCCCCAGTCCCTCCTCACAGACGTTTACACTGATAAACCTTAAGCAAAAGATATTAAACCCCAAGAGCTTCAAAGAACATCACTTTAGGTCTTACTTACCAAAAGTGAGTCAATTCTCTTTGACTTGGATGCATCTATTTAGAAACTTAATTTCTTTTTCCAGATTGACAGATTGTGGAAAGACCGCTTAGAACATCCCATAGTTAATGCTGAAATAACAAAGTTCATGGACAAGAAATGGATGGTTAAGGAACAACAGGATATTAATCAGAGTTGAATTAATGTCATTACATTATATTAAACTATATAATTTTTGGTACAGAAACATTCTTGTTTTTGTTGTAATTTTTCCTGGGCTGGTCCCTGGCTCAGGGACACATCTTTTTCTTATACAGATACAAAGTTCCCTTTTTTGTCACCTGTCACTGTAAATTATTTCTATTTAAGCAGAAATGGACTGAGAGGTTATTGAATGAGCAAAAGAACAATTTCATCAGTTTCCATTTTTTCTCAGCCACTTTCTAATCTATTAAGTCTTGGCATTGCTATTATTTTTTTGATGTTGATCAGTTTTCATATGATTTGCTTTATTAAGAGAGAACCTAAATAGTTGCCGATAATGTATTTTTTAAAGTAATATTAATATTATAGTATTGGCTTATAAGATATGGACTGTATGCATTTTGCTTTAATAGTTATGTACCTTAATATATCATACCAGCTAATATAATGAGAGCAGATATTTTACCAGCCTGACAAATTTACAACTGTCTCTTATGTGGTGCAAACATCTTTAGTTCAATGTTAGTGGATCTTAAAAGCTCTTAATATTTCTGGGTCTTTTACACAAAATTAAAGTTTAGCATTAATGCTTGCAGAACTGGCAAGAAAGATATGTGCATGTACATATATTTAACTTTCATTTTCTCTTCTTTTATACTTTGTAAATATCTGACTTGAATAAACATTAGACATGTACAGTTGATAAAAGAGCTAGCACTTTCCTTAGAAGACTGTATAACAGGAATTCTTTAGCTGTGCTATATCAAGAGTAAAACTCTGACTAGTGACATTGCCCTGAAACAGTATGTGACATAATGGAGATGAGAGGGCATAGGAGGAAAATCATTGTAAAATATCAACAAAAATATGGCTTCCTCCTCAATTTAATAAAACCATGAGCTTTACAATTCAGGCTAGGGTTATAGAGTGCACATATCCTCTAAAGAGAAGGAAAAAATGTGGGGAGTTATGCCTTATCCCAGTCTGGGTGACTACTGTGTTGATTTCTTATTCTTCATGTTTATCTGTTTTTAATTCTGCTACAGTGTATGTGCTTAACTAAATAATACCTGTTACACTGGGTTTTTCACTTATTAGGCTGATTTAGCAAAACAGAATGGGAACGTCAGTTGATGACGGCATGCACAAATCAAACAACTGGCTAGACCAATGGTAAAGCGGTAAATTGGGCACCGGTAGTAGAGTTCAGTCCTTTCTGCTCACTTTCCCATGGTCAACTGACATTCCTGTCCTGTCGCTAAATCAGCCTAATATATAGTTGTCATGACATGGAATCGGAAGAATCTGATTTGGGCAGCAGTTACAAAACACAGGTCACAAGTGCAGGTAACAGTAGAGGTCACCGTGCTTACCCTATTAATAATCACAATCCAAAATGGAGATTTACCTCAGGGGGAAACTGCTTATCTCAGTAACCTGCACTTGTGACCAGTGACCTGTGACATGTTTTCAACCTGCCATGGTTATTTTGAGCAAGTTAAGCAGACCATGTGGGTATTTACCTTGAAGTATTGTTACAGTATCTTTCAGTAAAAATTCAAATAGCATTTTTCAATACTTTTTCAGTTGTGAAGGGAATTCGAAGGCCAGACATTCAATTTATTCCTGCCAAAAGTGCCAAAGAAATAGACCAAATTATTATTATTTAAATTCATGCTTAGCACCAAAACAAAAGAAATCACCTTAAGTGTCAGGGGTGAACAATACAATTCTTTTGCTTTTCTGCGAGGCCTCGAAGCAAGTATGAATTTTAATACTTCTGCAATACTTACTCTTGATTCAGAGTAGATTAGAGCAAAAGCAACTACTTTATGTATGCCCCCTAAAAAACCTTCGACTTCTTAAAAGAGGCTCGGTCGCCAAGCATAGAACTGGAAAATTCAAAATGGTGGGCATATTGAGCAAGATACCTCCGCCGGCTCAATTGCTGAATTCTAAAGCTGCTGGAATAGCAGTCGCCTCTGTAGGTGCAGGCATTCTTTTGCTTTGGAAGAAAAAGCTTGACGATCTTAGCGCAAAAAGGTATTTACGCTCGTATTACCAGTTTCAGCCTGGTTATTCTCAGCTGAGCTAATAATGTTCCAGCTTTCATTCTTTGATCATATCGATCTGCTTGTGAATTGTTCGATCTATCTGTAGATATGTAAAAAAGTGGAATTTTCGCATAGCCCTATACGTCAAATGGTTATGCAAGTTTTTTTCCCGTGCAATTAAGTTCAATTGTTCGCTGTTTCTTTACGCATTGTGGTTTACGAGAGTAAGTTTGCAATTGTGCAGGCGTCATAAGAATGGGCTCTGCAGAAATTTATCGAGAGAAAGAACATCTCTTCGATCAACATGATTAAAAGTGAGTTCTCTTTTGCGCACTTGCAGAAAGGATCTTACCGGCGATTTACACATATCCCTAGATCAGGTGAGCGTTAATTATACTTTACGCATGACATTACGTAATTCGTGACGATGCAATTCTTGATGTATTTATCAGATGTTCATGTACTTGGGCGTGCGCAACTGGACTTGCATGTAAAATATTTTCGTTTTTCATTAATAATAATACAGTCAACGCCTATTACTCTTTATGATTATTTTGAATTTAATGTTATTCCTCTCAAAAAACTGATCTCAATAACCAATGGTCCTAAAACCTAAGGATAAACTGTAGGATACCGGCCCACTTATTTTCATGCAGGGTGCAAAGAAAGTCAGATAAGCCTTAAATTACAGCTCGCCCAATGTACTAGTCCAAAAGATTTTTTCACAAGCAGGAAAGACGAACCCCATGCACCTTCCCCCTAGATCCGCCCCTGCATGCAATGCAACTTACAGAACTGGTTTGCATGTTAATTATTACTATGGACTCAGAAATTCCCGGTGTATCGTCTGAACAGGGCACGCGTCTTCAATATTTGAAAAAAACCAAACTGTTTTTTAAAACCTGTCAATTTCGACCACAAATGTGATTGAAAGCTAAATGAAAGAATGCGTTAGAGCCCGGTAGTGGTCTCTATCCTTCCTTACTTTTTCTCTCGCTGTTATAGACCTCTGCTAAGTATGAAGACTGATTACAGTTTTTGGATCCCAAAAGCTTCACTTGTCCAGAGTTTCCCAAACTCAAACTTATTTTTATCTCCACACGTTAAACTTAGTGGCTATGTTGAAAACCAGTGCATTATCTTCGCACTGAATACCAGATCCTCTCATTTTTGTATACTTCATTCAACAAGAGATTAAGAGATTCATGAGTAAATAGATGGCCGGGTATTCTAAAATCATTCTTGCATTTAAGTAGTAAGGACAGTTATTTCTTATGCATGCTCATTTTGAAGAAGGCATTTCTAAAGATTTTATAAATACAGCCCTCATGTGAAAGTTATTTTTCAATAAAGAAAAAGAATGTGAAACCAATTTTGTGGCTTAAACTATATTGAAACTGTATTTGAAAGCAAGTTTCTTGAATAAAAATAATAACGTCTTGTCTATAGTAATTGGCAGTTTATTGTTGTATACTCTGTCTTGAAGCCTGCATCGTATCGTTTTTATTAGGAAAAGACACAGAAAAAAGAGAAGGCTGCAGTGGATGCTGTATTTTTCAGGTAATGATAATTGAACAGCTAAAAACGACAAAATGAGCATAATTTTTGATGAATGGATGACAATGTAAAGTTGTTTGACTTTGGTCTTTAGCTGAAGAATTTCTTATCGGTAATTGAAAATGGTGTTGCTTTAACCAAATTGCTATCTGTTCTACTCTCCAACATCAGAATGAACACCTGAAATTGCAGGAATTTTGATTCTGCGTTGACCAGTCACAAGGAAAGTCATGACAGACAAGCAGATCACAACACAACAAACTAATTTCTGTTGCTGCTAATGGTTTAGTTTTCTTATGCCTGATTGGCTTTTTCCTTGAAACATGTTAACATTCCAGATTTTTTTTGTGGTGTGCATGGTTTTTTTTAGTTTTACCATAAAACTGTATATTTATTCAGGACAGCATTGACCAAAACTGACTGAACATGGTTTTGCTGACCCCCCCTTTTTGTCAAGACCTATGAAATACAGGTATTTTATTATATGGAGGAGAGTGTTTTACTGGGAACTAAACCACTCGTAGATTCCATACGCCACTTCATCCGGGACCCGAGTGGCGTATTTTCCGTATGTCACCTTTGTGAGTGTTGTATCGTTCAATGATGTCATGATTCCCGCCTTTTGGTTTTGTTGAATTGGTTTCTCCATATAATAAAAAGAACATTACACGTTGGCTCGAAGATATGAATTTTATGTTCTCGTGGCAAGAACAATATCTTGCCACTCGAACATAAAATTCATATCTTCTCGCCACCGTGTAATATCCTCTATATATGTTGCAGTTAATTTTTAATCGCAGGTAATTTTTACATTTCTCTTGTTTCAACTTCATTAGCATACATTTCCATATCCAAAAACAAAAGAAAAACAAAAATTACCTGAGATAAAAAATTAACTGTAACATATACATACAATGATGATGTTATTTGCCCCTGAAAAGAATGTTTGTGGAACTACATGTACTTATGCTGTAAATTGGTTTCCGTGATGATACATATCTGTCGGTATATTTTGAAAGAAAAAATTTCGCAATTATTTTCTACATTAGTCTGCCTTCTCCTTTACTGAGCAGATATGACTTCTTTGCTTCAAAGTTAAATACAAATTTACCATTTATTTGTTCTTCTTTACACATTATATAGGAAACTGCTAAGAATTTTGAAAATTATTATCCCTGGATGGCTTTCACCTGAGGTACACAGTTTATTTAGTATTTCTTCCTTGTGTGTAGTTAAAGGCGCACACAAGCCAAAGGCCCATATGGCCAGACCCTATGACGGTTTCCTTAGCATCAAGCATGCCTAGGAGTATTGGTACTCCCCCTACTCCCTTTCTCGATAGGGTATTAAGTTTGAAAGCTTTTGCCTGTTCCGTTACTTATTTTGGCAAAAACTGTGGTGACATCAAAAAAGCTCAGTGGATCTTGTCAAGGAAAACAAACCAAACTAACAAGCTTGGAGACCCAGCTTGGATAATAGTACTTTTGTTTCTTTTATTCTAAAATTTAGTGCTGTCACTAAGGGCCATGGGGTCAGGGATTACCCCACCCCCCCCCCCCCCCCCCCCCCTCTGCCCTCCCGCACCCTCCTCCCCCTCTCTACAAACAAAAAAAAAAAAAACAACAAAATAATATTCATCTTATTTACATTTATAATAAAAGTTCAGTGGATCTTGTCAAGGAAAAAAAACCAAACAAACAAGCTTGGAGACCCAGCTTTGATAATAGTTCTTTTTTTTTTTTTATTCTAAAATTTAGTGGTGTCACTAAGGGCCCTGGGGTCAGGGATTACCCCCCCCCCCCCCCCCCCCTGTTCTTTGCTGAAAGCATGACTCCTCACAACTTTTTTAGAAAACAAAAGGAATATACAAATGAGTTTATTTCTCATGTAATTTCCGTGCAATGTGACAGATCTACATGTAAGAAACATGCGTGTAATGCTGCAATTCCAGTGGCCTGTACTGTGAAAATTAATAAAAAAAAAAAATGCCAGGCTTTCAATTTCCTGCCTACAAATTGCATGTCCCCAGGCAAATTGAAATCTTATTTAGCGCCCTGATGACTCTTTTCTGTGAAAAATGGCCTTATTTCATAACGTCTTTTTTTTCCAGACTGGCTATTTGGTACTTGTGGCTCTATCTCTCATAGCAAGAACATATTGTGATGTGTGGATGATACACAATGGTACTGCAATTGAGAGGTGAAATCCAAATATGTTTTTGATACATACACACTGGTAGATCCAGGGGGGCCTGGGCCCCCCTTGTTTTTAGACCAAACTGAGGCCCAAAGGGCTGAAAAAAATTGTTTTTGAGACCATCCCCCCATCTCAGGTTTTGGATGACTGCCCCAAACCTCCCCCCCCCCTGAACTGAAGGTCTGGATCTGCTACTGCATACATGAAGTTTATTGTAGTTATATGTCTTGATAATGTTATGGTCAAGTCTTAGATTTAAATCAAAGCACAAATATAACAATAATAATATTAATAATGATGATGATGATGATAATAATAATAATCTTTATTATGCTTTTGTTGATGTACATAGTTGATATTACAATCTAGTAGATTTACTTACAATAGAAAATTAATTAATAATAATAGAATTAATGTGCAAGCTAGGAAGCTGAATGAACCATTTGGTTTTCTTTGTTAGCTCCCTGAACAATTTAGGTTCTAGGTAGCAGGTAAAATCATAAGAAATACTACAAGAAAAAACATAAAGAAGGAAGAACTTAATTCAGGTTAAAATCTTTTAACCTAGGTTGGTTCTCAATTTTCTTTGTCTCCAAGTCCTAATTATTCATGAATTAGTATTAGGAGCAAACGTTAATTTTTGTTTTTATTTTTGATAACCTGCTTTGATTAGCTATGCTAACTGTGCTTTGTCAATGTTGTAAATATTATATTGTTATTGAAGTTGTGAAGATATGAAAATCATATATGAGAACCGCAGGGTGAAGAATTATCATCGCAATTATAGACACAACTTTTGGAGTTGGGAAAAGAAAGCCTGAAAAAAAAAAGGCTTGTACGGGATTTGAACCCTTGACCTCTGCAAACGCTGCACTGGTATCACAGAGTTCAAGGGTTGGAATCTCGTGTAAGCCTGAATTTTTTTTCAGCCTAATCTTTTCGCAGCTGCAAAAGTTGCGTCTATTTGTGATGATCTTCTTTCATATAACATTGTTATTGTTGTTAAAATCAGAACAAAGTGTTGTTGTTGTTGTTGTTGTTATACTATATCACTTCTGCAGCAAACCCATTTTTGAAGCATGTTAGATTAAAGGACTAGCATTAACTGTTTTCTTGTCAGTGAGTTTGAAGGTTGTAATGTGTCTGAGCTGTACTGTAGTAGTGAAATTAATTTCTTCCATTTTATCTTACTCTATGTTATGATATTTTAGATCCATCATTGGTGGGGATTTTGGAGGATTTAAATACAACCTTCTTCAGCTTGTATATGCCATGCCATTTGTAAGTTCCACTCTCATGTCTGCCAACTTATTCATTTTTTGCCTCAAGTCAATCACAAATTAATTCTGCATGGCTGATGTTAAATCTGAATTTCTTAAATACTGATTAAGAGATTATTTTGTTTGCTTTATTCATTACAGTTAGCTGTTGTCAACCAACTTATGAAGGTCAGTGCAAAATAATCTACATTTTCATTGTTTATGATTCAGGTCGAATTCAGATAAAAGCAATCAAAATTTTGGCTGAAATGTACTGCCACTGTAAATTAAAATAATGTAATGCTGCAGAATTAAATTTTACTCAGTCAAACATTATCACTCCATTTTCCTTGGTTAGTCCCAGTTTTCTAAATGGCCAGTCTGGCATACTGTATTATAAATCATAGAAGGTGATGCATGTTTTTTGACATACATCTCAGAGGGTTTAACTTTAAGAGTGTGTGCAAGTGGACTAACCCTGACACCTTCAGTTGAACCCTCACCTGCACTTGCAAGCTACAATGTACATAAAACACAGTGCAAAAAAAGCAATGAATTTCCTGACATTTATATTTCTGTGTTCCTTTAGTTTGGACTAAATGAGCTGAAGTTGAGATTTCGCACGAGGTTAACTCTTCACCTATATGAGCAATATCTTAGGTAAGTCGCACTGATCAATCATCCAATGATCAGTTACACAGGATAGATTCCAACCCTGTTGACTAACAAAGGGAGGTTGTTGGTGTGGTATACCCGCGCCCACAAGTGCTGAAGGCGCAAGCCCCTAGAGAAATCCGGTGGCATACTCCCCTGTGAATAATTTTAAGATATGTGCCTCTAAGATGCCATTTCCTGCATTTTGAGACTATGAATGAATGCAAACCCTGCACAAAGTTGAGGCAGTCCAGTGCATTAGCATGCCCAGAATTATTGCAGGCTAGTTGCTTGGATAAGAATGGCTGAGAAACCTCAGAAAAATGGCAAAGAATCATGCTAAAAAGACTGGTTAAACAACGAAAGGAAGAGTTTTAAAAACTGGGAGAATATTACGCGAAAATGGAAGGCAGGAAATATTTGTCGAAAAATAGGAGGCTTCTGGCCAAAACAGGAGGGTAGGAATCTCTGACACAGTGAGTGTATTGAATTGTGATAAATATGTTGTGAATTTTTTTCTAACATTGCACACTCTCATGGCTTATACTTTGAGGTCACTTGAGATCAAACAATAAAACTATATCCTACTTTGAGCAATACTGCAAAATCCACGACATCAGAGGATTACAATACTCTGGTACTCACTAATTTTGATTGCTTAATTGTTGAGATTTGGTTTCCTAAAATTTGTTTGAACAGACAGAATTTTTCTCTATTGGCTTGGTTTCCCAAACTGGAGCTAGGCCCAAGTTGCTTCTTTGTAGTCTAATCTTCTCTCATGAGCAAGTATTGTGTGTAATAATGATTAATTTTTTTTTTTTTCAGTTCTTTTACCTTCTACAAAATGAGTAACTTGGATAACAGGATTGCAAATGCAGATCAACTTCTTACTCAGGTAATTAGATGTTGATATTTAGAAAGAGTCTGTAAAAGGCAACACATAAACTTAACTAAGGCAATTACGTTAATATTTATAATACTTTTGAAACAAATTGTTTTTGAATTATAGGGGCTGGTGGATAATGGTAATTACTTAAACTTGGCCATTCTGAAGGGATTATATACAACAGCCGGGAGAAGTTTTGTCATTATTTTTTCATTCAAATATTTTTCATAACTCATCACTTAATCTGAGCAAATTTTAAGATAACGATGTTGCGCACAGCATTGTTACTCTGTGCAGGTCTTGAGAAAAATGGCTGGTTTTTAAGATTGCTAAAAATGAAATAAATGTGATTTTATCATGATTACCAATATTAAAGCAAGAGTATGCTGTATTTATGGTTGTAAAACTTTTCTTTTTTTATAAGGATGTAGATAAGTTTTGCAACAGTCTCGCAGAGCTATATTCCAATGTCAGCAAGGTGGGTGACTTTAGTTCCGTTAATACATGTATCGTGAATAAATTATTTTGAAATGTACCTCTAAGAGCAGCCACTGGGTCTTATATTAATTTTATTTGGAAGAAAAGGTTTTTTATGATTGCAACGTAGGATATAACTGTAATAATACTGGTGATTATGATGGTAATGTCATGACGATGATAAAGAAAATGAACATTATGATGATGATGATGATGGTAATATTCCACTCAAGGAGAAACTATGTGTATTTCAACCCTTTCTAGTTCCTACAAGGTGATATTTTGTTGCAATGTGCCTTGCTAGAGGCTTAGAATAAGCGATTTTGTTAACACTACTTCACAGTCTTTGTATATCGGTGTTGAATTATGTCTACAAATTCCGGGTAGAGTGAAAAAGACATGTGAAGCTCACTTAGAAATATTTAGGTAAAATCCCTGAAAAAAGAATTTGTAAATAATCCCACTAAATGATCCTTTGATCAAAGATACAGTAAGGCCCAGTTCAAACGTCAAACTTTTCATGTACCGTACTTAATAGCTATTTGGGTTGACCCAGATGATGTAAGTTTGACTGTTGATTCAGACGTTGAACCTAATTCGTCAAACTCAATTCTTTTTTGCAATGTTCAAATAACAATGGCCTACTATGTTTACCAGTGAAAATAAATTACCGGTACATTAATTTATACACTAGGTTCGGCACATGAAAGGTTTCATGTTTGAAACCAAGTCCCTCCTCTGTTAAAACTCCCATGTGGGCTACTCGAACTTAATTCATGGGTCAACCAAATCAGATATGTTGGATTTAATTGATTGAAACACAATGAATACCTTGGCCGCTTACAAAATGCCCAAATAGGCTGGCGTGGGAGTATTAAACTAGACAGCAAAACAGTCGGTTTTTCTCTCAAAATCGGTTTTGTGTAGCGTTACAGCAGCGTGAAAGCCTCACGCGCCAAAGCGTGCGAGCCTCACACATGTTTTCAGCCTCGCTCCGGACCTTTTGTGTGACCGTTCGTGCGTACTTGTAGACTGCAAAACAGTCTGTATTTTTACAGTCTACAATGTAGTATTACACAATGTAGATGAACATTGTCATTTGTGAGTTTCTCAATTTTTTTACTAACATGCTTATGGTCTATTAATTTGCAGCCCATACTGGACATAGCGATATACGTCCAGAAACTTACTGGAGCAATTGGCATCCAGGTATACTATTGAATTCAATGCAAACTTGCACCTGCACACAGTATGTTGACTCTGTGTTCTTGCTTACCTGTTGCCTAAAGGTCTACCTACGGTCAAGTTGGCAGAAAGTCACCTCGCCTGAAGTTATGTCGCCTGAATTTTTTTTATTGGGTGACATAACTCAGCATTTGAGATGACTTAACAAACAACTGCAGTAACATAACTTTGGGCGGATTTTGAATTTCGGGCGACTTGACCAGTTAGCTACCCAAAGGCAGAGCTATTCTGTTCAAAGAAATTGCCATTAAAACATTAATTAGGTGGACTTTTAAAGGGGCTAAACAGTTGTTCTGCTTCATGAATGCGATTTTCGTATGACCTTCCAAAATAGTTTGGGTAAGTGTTCGTTTTTTGTTATTTAATACACATGTATCAGCCAATGGATGAAAAGATCAAAACATGAACTCTTCGTTTTCCCGCCAAAGAAAACCCTAATATGTAGAAGGCATTGTTCGATTGGCCCATCGTGTTGCAGTATGACGTCAAAGCGAAGTATTGATTGATTTCTAGAAGTTCTCGGGCATAAAAGTTTTTTCAGCCGAGTGTTCGCTTAACCAACCAAAAGCCCCTCCTTGCTCTCTTTGAAAACCTTTGTGTTCATGCATGCGCAATTTCCCTCCAGGAATGCTAGACTGCGTATTTCATAGCTTTCAAGTAAACTTCACTCACACACGTACCGCTGTCAGTTTTGTTTGGAAGTCTTTTTTTGGCTCAGTATAACCTTTGCTTAAAGAGTTGCATCATATGAGGTTGTGATGTTTGTTTTACAGGGTCCTGCTATCATGTTAGGGTACTTGGCTGTGTCAGGACTTGTACTAACAAGGTACAATGCCTCTGTGATATATAGATAGGTTTTAATATAACAAGGTGATCAATACAAGTTCATTTGTATACTGAATAGCTTGGAAGGGGCTTTTCAAGGAAGACATCCTTAAATTTCACTGTGTATGGGGTTATTTCAAGCAGTGAAAATGTTGTTTTAAGAATAAATATCCAAGCCAGATCAAGATGAAGGCAGTATTAAGTCCCGGGAGAAATGCCGTTGAGCGAATCGACTTTCGGGCGAAACGGCCGCCCAAGGAACAAACATTAATTTGATAGTTTGATTTTGCGAGGTTTTAAGGATAGCCGGATAAAAGTTACTGAAACCGACCGAGATGGAAAGCGAAATTAGGTCAAATTAGGGTGAAGGTCGAGTAAACGGTGTTCGAGTTACCAGAAGTCCAGTGCGGAATTAGTCTCTATCGTTAGTAAATTTTACGTAAAAAAACATTTCTTGATTTTTGCCAGATTGCGGCGGCCTGTTGGCAGAATGACAGCAGAAGAACAGCATCTTGAAGGAGAATTCAGATTTGTGAACTCTCGTCTAATAACTAACAGGTAAAGTAAGCACATTTGATACGTACAACTTTCTCTTTTGTGGGAGCTAACGACTAAGGCTATGTTCATACTTACTTATACTGGATAGCTGTTGGTGTTGACACTAAAAGCTATACGATATAGATTCGGTGTAGTATGAACACACATCCAATATGTAACTCTCCACTTTAGAGATCGGCGCGGCGCAGCTTCGCTCCGTTACAAAAATCGCGCGGAAATCACCGTTCCAATGTGTGTCTGAACAGAAGCCCTGTCCTGTATGTTTTTCGCGCCGGCGCAAAAGCGATCCAGTATAATGTGACCCTGGACGAGCTCATTAAACATTCAAGTAAAAATTCTTCACCAATTCGAGTTATGGGGTCTGTGTTAATTGTTGTGTATTTTTAAAGAGTTTTTGCCATATCTGTCTTACGTTTTGGATCTACTATTTCAGTATTTGGAAGATTTATCCAGCCTGTGTACAGCCGTTTTCTTCTCAAACGTTTGAGGGAAGGGGGCGGTTTTACACAGGCTAGATTTAACAAACTAACAAGTTATCGGTACCTTAAGCTGGGTTATATTTTGTTTTAGTAACTTTTAATGCACTTTCCCCTCTCGAAGAGTTTGCCGGAGTTCGTTCATATTTAACAAGTACTCGTTCTTTTCATTTAAGTGAAGAAATCGCCTTTTATCAAGGAGAGAAAAGAGAAAAGCAGACCATTGAGAGCACTTTCCAGAGATTGGTAAGGTTGCGTATTAAAGAGATGTCCAATTGTTCCCCCAAGCGGTACCAACGACCCTGCCTGGCTTGGCACTAATTTTGTTTTTATAACAAAAGTGACAGTGGACTATTGAGTGGGGCCTGGGTGATTTTTCCAATGTGGTTGACCAAGCAAAGATTTAGTTTGGTAGCACCTTTTGTCGCTTTCTAACGCGATTCAGTAACTTGAATTTGTCTGGGAAACATTTGCGCCCGCAACGGTGCCTCCTCAACAGTGTTTCAAGGTTTAACAAGACCCTAGCAGTCGTTGTTTTGACCAATGAACCTTCTTTGCGGTTATTATTATAGAATCGCGTTTTTAATTTTCCCGGCTAATATTTTCGTAACCAGCAACGTTGTAACTTATAACTTTTTTATACTGTTGTTTTAGGTAAACCACCTCAGAAATTTCATTCAATTCAGATCAAGTATGGGAATCATTGACAATGTTATAGCAAAGTGTAAGTAGAACATGGTGATAAAACAACTTCTATGGACGCCTGTGTAGCAAAACAACAGTTTTGCTTGGGGGTTGAAAGGCTTGACCAGCAAAAAAGCACTTGTTTGTGTGTTAAAAAATTAGCACTGATAACAGCACTCTTGAAATATTGTTAATGGCAAAGCTGTACGAACGTACTGTTTTGCTTATTAAAAGGTTAAACTGAATGCTTACCTTATGAGCAGCTCCAGCCTTACAGAAATGTGTACACTGCGAGCAGAGCTTTCTCTCTTGCACGGCTTTTAGCATTTGCGAAGTCGTTCGCGTGGCTTGTCTGTGGCGTAGTTATTTTGTAAACAAACGGGGCGTAAACAAACCAACCACCCGACTGACAAGCGACACGAGCGACTCCTCAAATCCTACAAGCCATGCGAGAAAGAAACCTCTACTCGGAGGGTGGCAAATGTGTTATTTTGCCAGTCAATCTTATAAAGACATGTGCGAAGATCTGGTTTACAAATTAAAGCTTTAATTGCACGTGCAAATGCGTTGATTTGTTAAACATGCTTTTCAGTGCACGTGTAAAGGTGATGTTTTGCTAATTAATGCTTTAAATTTGCACGTGCAAGTGTTTTGTTTTGGTAACAGGACTTTCCAAGGCGCGTAAAAGTGTTGCTGGATTCTCTTACGTATGGCGCAAATTTAATAACCTAAAAAGTATTGATGCACAAGTAAATGTTTCTCATTATAGCCTCCATTTCGCTGATTAACCGTATAGCTTGATCATTGAAACTTTCAGATGTAGCCACTGTTGTTGGTTTTTCTGTTGTCAGTCGGCCTTTCCTGAGTAAGACAAGCACAAGACACCTTAACAGTACTCACAGCGAGAGAATGGAGGTTAGTTGAATTGGTTGTCGGTATTTTCCGCGTTTTGTTTTGATGAAGCGATTGAAGTGTTGATTGGGTAATCTCGAGTTTTGCAGCTAGCTTGAAGCTTGAAAAAAAAACAACTGTAAAATGCAGGAAAATGAAGTCCAAAGCTTTAAGAAAGAGAGGGATGGGGTGGGTAAAGCGTACCCCCTCCCCCGAAGAAGGGGTAAAACGGCCTTCTTCGGGGGGAGGGTGCGGCT